CGTCTTTAGAGGAGTTGTACTAAGACACTTTATCATTTTATGACCCCCGAGACCCCGCCCCCCTCCTACCCGCGCCCTAAACTTTAATAGTGTGTATTTTGTAGGGATGCACCGATACCACTTTTTTTTAAGACCGAGTACGAGTACCGATACTTTTGATCAAGTACTCGCCGATACCAATTACCGATACTTTCTCTTAAAGGGACAGGTCACATTTTTTTCGAAAGCAATACAAACTAATGCTTCAAGGTCACTTTCTTAATATTATGATTCGTGAGATGACGAGGGAGCACGACGCCGGCTTCCCGGAACGCCGGGTCGTTACACGGTCGCCCAGATTCGCTAGCTTCCTGACCGATCGGGAAGCCGGGCAGCGCGTCATTGCACGCTACCCCGGCTTCCTGATTGGCGGCTCCACGCTCTCTCAATCACAAGTGACGAGAGAGCACGGAGCCGACTTCCCGGCCAATCAGGAAACCGGACTGCGTGTCATGACGCGCTGCCCGGCTTCCTGATACAGGAAGTACTCCTGCTAGGTATCGGAGCATTTGGGCGAGTAAGAGTACTCACCCAAATACTCGGTATCGGCACCGATACCGATACTAGATGTTCGACCGCTAAACGCCCCATAAAAGGCCTTGTGAAGCCCCAATTGGCTAAAAGCTTGCACCAGACCGCAGGCCAGGTGCAAGACTCTGCCCAATCAAGGCTCACCTGTCAGATGACGTCGTAAAACTACTCAGCTGTCACCGCTAGCCCCGCCCCCGCTTGTGTTTTGCCGGCATCTGTCAAAATGCCGTTATGCGGCGCGTGTGATCGTCGCGGCGACCGGCTGTTTGTTTTTTTTTTTAAATTATGATTTCTATTTTTTTTTTTATTGTTTTATTTAATCGAGTCGTGGACAACGCTGGACGCCGTGATTGACCCTGGATTACGCCAGTGGTTCCATTTTTTAAATAAAGGATTTCATCAAAAGTCTGGGCGTCTTTGGTAAAACTTTTAACCCTTTAGTGAATGGGTAGAGGTACAAGTACTCCTTAGACCCCGTTCACATGTAGCGACATACCTTTGCAGCGGCCGGGATAGCGCGACTTTCGGGGCGACATTCCAGCGACGGTAGCGCGACCTTCTCCGTCGGGCTCCATAGAAAAAAAGCAAAATCGCGCAAAATCCGCCGAAAAAAAGGGTCCGGTAGAAGCGACGCGCGACATGGAGTTAAGCCAGCTCCATTGAATAGCATTGGCCGGCGCTGTCGCGCGGCAAAAATGCGCGATAAGTCGCTACATGTAAACGGGGCCTAACTCATTCAAAATGGGGGGGGGGCGGCATCTGGATGTCCCTTTATTAAAGGGGTACCCTAATGTGAATAAGCCCCCTTGCCCGCAGGCCCCCCACAACCACCGGGTCAGGGATGTGGTGGGGGGGAGGGGCGACCCTGGAAAAGCACCCTCCGAGTGCCGAGGGCATGTGGCCTGGTATGGGAGGGAGGAGGGGCGCTCGCTCGTCCTCTCCCCCCCCCCCTTTCCGGCCCTGCCAGGCCTATGCTCGGATCAAGGGTCTGGTATGGAATTTTAGGGGGGACCCTACGTTCCCCCCATTTTGGGGGTGGGGTTCCTCCTTTAAAATTCCTACCAGACCTTAAAAGGTCTGGTATGACTTTTGGGGTGAACCCCATGCTTTTTTTTTTATTTGGTCCCTCCTAACATTCCTACCAGACCTAAAGGGTCCGGTATTGTTTGGGAGGGGGAACCGCACACTTTAAAAAAAAAAAATAGTCTTTTTTTTTCCCTTTATAAATGTCAGTTTTGCTGCAGCAGGTTCCATACATCGTACAGATCCCCCCACTTCACAGGCAGGTTAAGTAGACACTGATCACTCCGGTGTTTGTAAATAACTGGGGACACATAGTACTATGTGTCCCCAGTTATGAATGAACAGGAAGTGCTTTGCATCACTTCCTGTTCATTCATGAGTTTCTCAATGGGGAGTAGCACTCTGTACAGAGGCTCTCAGAAACTGGTGATAGTAAAATATTTTCTGAATGAATGGGAGGAGCCAGTAGCGGACCTAATAACCAAAGGGCCCTGGTGCAAGATTTTATCTTGGGCCCCCCTCCCAAGATGGGGGGGGGGGG